CAAGGTGAAGTTCATGCTGTGTTGATTCAGGAAAGACTTGTGTTATGTTGCACCAGAAACATGTTTTGTTTTTTATAGTATTGCAAAATATAAAACCCACAAGTAGAACAAACCTTAGGATCCACAGTATGTATACTGTATTGTGAAATACATTTGGAAGAGCAACACCATTTGCAGAATTAGAATATTAAAAGCCTTGTCTTCCAGTAAGATGTGAGTAGAAATCTTCAAAATGAATGTTAAAAAACTTCAGCACTCACAAGCTTCCTTTCCACAGCACACTTCTTTCACTTAAAAATGTTTTAAACCTTGTGTTAATAATATACGGAAGCAAATTAAATGAAAAACTACTTATTTCACATGTTATTTTTTCTACTGCTAATTAACCTACTTCGATTCTTTGGGGGGCAATATTTTAGATTAAAAAGCCAGTGCTTTCAATAATTAAATCATAAAAGTTATGAATATCAACATTTTAAAACTGCAACAAAATACGTGAAATGTGCATTCGTATGCCTAATTTGATCACTTAAGCAAAATGTGAAAAAAATAATTTTATAGGCATACTTTCGTGTCTTATACAGTACCACAGGTATTACTGATCTCTGAGTACTCAAAGATACCATTTTGTTAGTCTAAATAGTGAACTTTATTTTCCATTTTAAGTTTCATGATCAAGGACATGGCTGTATTCACTGTGGAATAATTTCCTGTGCTAGATCTGTTTTGTTATGATCACAGTGATAAATCAAGGTTAATGCTTTGGAAAAGATATGAAAATACTGAGATTGAGATTGGAAAAAAAGTTTTGTGTTATTTTTTCATGGACTAACGTTATACAAAATCTGTTTCACAGAAACACTCAGAAGTCCATTTTCTGTATCTAGAAAATTACACATTGAATAACAGTTACAGTACATCTGCAGCACTTCCTGTATCACTCATGAACCTTCATAATCTACAATACATACTGTATGCAATGGTTAAAATAAACTGGAGTCTTTGTATGTTAAGTGTATTATACAATTGTATCTTTTATTTACAAAAATACTGGAAGATTAAAAGATATATGGTGCAATATACTTTTTTTCAATGGATTTTCTATAATTGCTGTTCAGTTGTGTCACCTTATGTGTCCAAAGTATCCATCCCAGTCTTCTCAGTGATGTTCTAAAAATGGCAACCCTTTTTCTTCAGCTATGAAAGGACAATCTATCAATTTAGTCAAAAAACTCATTGTAATGACTGCTATTCTCTAGGGGGAGACAAGTAGAAAGTAGACACTTCCTTTGCGAAAAAAAAACCCAACAACCTCAAAAACATCCAGAATATTTTTTCTTCATGCCCTTCAGTTTTACAGTGTCCTTCACAACAAGATCATATTGTCATCTGTGTTCCAGAACAAGCAACCTTATGAACTTAATGAATTAAAAATGACAGATGATGTAGAGCCACTGGTATACTGTATGTTGTCATTTGTGTTTTGGAACAATGGTAAATGCCAAGTGTACATCTTATTTTTGTATTTGCGTGTGTATGTATATAGTTTCTTAACAAACTAGTCTGCCGGTCTATGTACAATTTAGAATAATTTGGAAAGCAGCGTTGTAAGATGCCCTATGCCTGACAGAAAGATTATTTTTCCCTACATAATATTCTGAACACATCAATCAGTGAAGTGGGTCCCATGTTTCCCAACAGGTATTAATAACTGAGTGCTGAACTTTGACACTCTTCAGGAGATAACATGTTAAATGAGTTTGCTGGTCATCTCTTCTCCTGCTGGGCAATTATTTCTATTGGAGAAGAGAGTGCACTGCACTGAGTAGATGTGAACAAACTGAAATCTTGGCTCATAGCCTCTGCTAGCCCTCAGGCCTGTTGTAGTCATTCACTTCTCAAGTCGATGGTGCCTTCACAGGAAGGTTAAGAGAAAATATAGGAATATTCAGGCAAATAACTACAAAGAGCTCCCTGACAGTCGGTGAACATAACAGAAACTTTTTTAAAAAACTCTTGAATTGTTTAGCACCCTGCACTTACTGGAACTTTTCATGTGAATAATTTGAATGAGAAAGGTATTCATATCAATACTTGATAAGTACCATCGTTCATTGTAAAGACATACTGTACAGTATAGGAATTGTAAGATTTTTGCTTTATAACTTAACACAGGTAAAAATGTGTAAAAATCACAAGTACTTATTAAGACATTACAATTTTAAAATGGGTGCACCCTGATTATGACGTTTTCATGTCATAGAAGCAAAAGTGCTTTTCAGTTTGCTTTAATTCTCATGAAGGTGGTGTATTTTGAACCAAAGTCTCAAATGTCTGTTTTTTCTTTTTAAAATGGGTATTTTCTCCAAAGGTTTGCTATTTCAATTAGAGCTTAAGAATCTATTACTCTTGTGTGTGCTCTGGTGCTTTTTTGACTGGTATTAGCTACACAAAGAGCTTGGCTGTTTTTTTAAAAAGATGATGCTATTGGCATCAACAATATTGCTAGGCAATTTGTTCCCATCTCCAACAACACTTTGTGTAAAATTGTTAACGGTCAGAACTGAAAAAAAAGGTTTTTATAAAGAAAATTAGAAAAGTTAGCTCACAAACTTTTTTTGTATTGTATCTGGCAGCATTTCTCCATTCTATTAGAGTCACATCTGGAAGTGAACAAGGGGGCCTTTACTGGCTGTTCATAATTTAAATGTTTAAAGAGGATATACTGTAAAATCTTGTTATCCCCACATTGAGAAGAGGTGCAACCAATTCTCATACAGTACTGTAAAGATCCAGTAACAAGGTTATGTAGATTAGTTTTTCAAGCACAGAAACTACACAATACAAGGAATTGTTCTTTGTTTCTCTGACCAGCTCCTAACAAATATGTAAAGTTGTTTTGTGTGTTAAATCCTTTGTCTTGTCTCATGATCAGAAACAGAAATAATTTTGTAGATTAAAGGTAAGGGCTAACAGAATTGAGTTGAAAAATGTCATCAGTTCCCCTTCTTCTGACAAACAAGCTTATCAAGTTGACCTGTACCTATGTTACCTTTAGAAATGAAAATCACTCCTTTATTTTACTGATACAACATACTGTATATTAAATCAACATTAATTAAAAATATATATTGTCAGATACTAACACATTAATCATGTAAAAATGGAATAAAACATTAAATTTGTACTGTTAACAAGCCTACATGGTTACTGCCACTTACCATCATGATTTTATTATTAGTCACTTTTAAGTGTATGCAAATGAGGAAAAAAGGTCTTTTTTTTTTACAATACCTCCTTTCAGCACGTCAGTAAACCTTATTTACAGTATGCACTGGACAAATGCACAACAAGATGGTTACAACTTTTTACAGTAGGTTTTATTTGTAATCTTCCTCTTTCCTGTGAAATCAGATAAGAACTCAAGGAGGACAAGAAGGATAAACAAGTGATTAAAAGCAAGTTTGCATCTTTGCATAAACTAACAGTCTTTTTCTTTGCAAATTTTAGATTGCTTTGCAGAAATTGAAAAAGAAAGATTATGGTAGAGATGGCCACCAAAACCCACTGCATAGGTCAGGAGCTATACTGTAAATGAAGTCTAGGCATGCGGTATATATCTCTTCCTCAAGGGCAGAAGGTATATCTCAAGGTTTGAAAATATTCCTATCTTGAGGTGTCAAGTGTTCTGATTAACAGTCAAAAAGAAATGAAATTTTAGAATATATCCTGACATGAACTACTCTTTTATTTTGTTTTTCGATATTGCTATATGATTAATTAAAAATATATCATAAGAGCAGTTTGGAAGGGCCCTAGCAATCTTGTTTTTTCATTTTGTATATCTTAGAGTCTTTAATTTTGCCTCCAACCTTTTTAATTCTTTGGAGACTGGAGTCTGAATTTTGTGTAGGTCACCAGGGTAATGGGTTTATGTGGGCCTCTTGAAAATAGATACAAGCAGTATATCCACAGCATGAGGGATTTTTGCCCTGGAGTTAGATTTAGACCTGTCTATCACTTTCCTTCCCTAAGCGATATATTCATGGCCCAGAAAAGTTACTTGTTATTGCAGAATTCAGGCTTCATTGTTACATACATTAACCATTGTATCATCATGCACTTTCTTCTGAATAAATCATCCTGTATTTTCCCTACGTATGCTTTTTTGGAATCCATGTAGAAACTACATTGAGCTACATAAATATTTATTTAAGAGACAGTTCAATCTCAGTGCCATGCCACAAGTGCCCTTTGAAGCTACTATATAATGTGGTCTGAAGCATTTCTGGAAAACTCAGTAAAAGCATAAATTCCTTCATATCTTTTTGTCATTGTAGACATACAGTACAGTACTGATCTTATTAAGGTGTGACTTGAACTTTAAATATTTTTTTTAAGTTTTAAATAGTCACTCCTAATTAAAAAAAAAACTCTCACACAAAGCCCCTTGAAGAGAATGGCATGTCCCACAGGAGTGATCCATTATGCTCAAAGTAGAGAGAATGGTCCATGATCCCTGACGACTGTAACAGGCCAGGGCTATTCTTCGATATAATATGTCAATTCACACAGCCTCAAGAGTCTTAATCCAGTCAGTAATTAGAGGATGAAAAGCCCACCAAAATGGAGTTTATAACGAAAGTTCGGGAGGGATGACAACAACCAAGTTCAATCAGACTCGGCTGTCAGTCCTGATGTCATCTCCTCTCCTACAACACTATAAATATACATGTCCGTGTATACATGTCCCACTATACATGTACATGATCCCCTTCTCTCCTTTGTTTACAGTATGTCTTTTGCATTCCACCTCCACCCCATCTACACCTACTGTATTTACAGCTATCCCTTGGTCACTTCTCAGTCTGGGGGTCCTGGTCTCCTCGTCCTATGGTCAGGAGGTTAGCCCTTTAGACAAGTGGGTTAAGATTAATTTTCACTAAACACTCCATAACCCATTCAGTAATTAATTTATTCTTGGGTGTTGTTATTCCTAGTGAAATAAAGCCCAGCCCAGGAAACAAGCAGTTAATGAACCAGAAGGACAGGTGGCAGATTTCACGTCTCATGAGAAGACAAGTGAGTGGTAAACATTTAATGGAATCAATGCTGCGGTATAATGTAGCTGTAATCACTGGAGGTGGACAGACCCACTGTTAGGCGTGTTTTCTTAGATTTTGATGTCATACAATAAAAGTATAAACTTGTGTTGGAGTCTTCAAAAAGTAACATGCTGTCAGGTGACACCACAGCAGAAATTATCGTTCACTTATGCTTTAACGTGGAGGTTAGGTTTAGTGTCTGATATAATTATGCGACACCCTCCCCTCCACTTTAACTTCCCTACCCACCAATTTCCATTAGACCGCGGGTGCACATTTCGATATTAATAGGAATCAACCTTAGCCTCTAGCTGCAGTATTGGTCTCAGGTGGAAAAACGTAATGTAATGGCAAGAGACACGGAAGAACTAAACTGAGTCCAAATTGGGTCTGAAACACCTTATTATTAAAAATACAACGATTTACAAAGATATACTATACTATACTATACTAGTGTAAGGCGTCTTTATAGCTTCGTTGAAATGGTTTCTTTTAAAGGCACTTTATAAGATGATTTTAGTTTATTGTTATAATTATTATTATCTTTAAAATATAAACACATTCTATCATGTGATATGTAATAGATATTTGAACCTTACTGCCTAGTTAATATAGTAAACTCATAGTGTTACCAGTGTTGCATTTTGTATACTTACAGAAAGTTAATGCTTGAAAATCTACTTCAGAATTATATTGAAGAATGACCTAATTCTGATGTACATAGTAATTAATTAATAATAGCAGTATTAAAAACACTAATTCGTAATAAAAAGTGTGGATACTGTCTTTAAAACTGAATGTTCATGTTTAATTTTGTTGTTTAATGAAAAGGGAGGAAAAGTATTTCAGTGCCAAAATAAATTAAGCTACAGTATAATTTATCTTGGGCTTTAAATAATGAAAAACATCAAATGAAATGCAAATCAGCTTTGGGATTTTTAAATCATTTATTAGGCTAGTAGTAAGTGAACGTTCCTCCAAAGGTTTTGGTAACAATATACAGTATTTTATTTTATTTTGAATGGAAAACAATGTGTAGTATGACACCCCTACCTGTGCAGGATATTAAATTAGATTTTTTCATTATGTTCAGTTTTTTATGAAAGAGATTAAATGTAAACAGATATTTTTGGCTAAATGTGATATTTTTACAAGGAAATACTCAGTCTTTAAAACATAATATTTCTGAAAATTCTCTTCTGCTGGTTCTTTAAGTGTATTGTGATTATCTTGATAAAACCATATGTTTCTGTGACATGCTCAGATTGATAGTACCTGAAGCATACATCTTTTATAGTGCTGTTCTTTTGTTACATTTTATATTATTTTGAGGTGCAGTTCACTGCCATTTTCACTTTACTCTGGAACAAATAAATTTGTGATTATGAGGATTTTTGTTTCTGTTGTTATTGGTTTCTAAGGTACACAAAGCAATAATGATGATTTTCCTTGTAAGACCCTTTTTATTATTCATGTTTGCTGTAATTGTACTCATTAAAATTACAGATTTACAAAGAAACCTACACAAGCCACCCTTGTATGGAAATTTCAGATTTTAATAATAGAAAACCTACATAACCTAGGGCAGAAATTGAAAGCTGAGCCCATGGTGATTCTTCAGTCTGTGGTAAAGAACCATGAATTCTGAAAGACTTATTACATTACCTGTTTTGTAATTTTCTTTAGTATTGCATTCTGTTGTTGAAATTATATGGTATTTATTCACTCATACCTAAAAAAAAGCAGGATAGATACAGTATGTGGGATACTGTATGTATGGGATTTGTTTTATTTATTTATTATATGGTTCAGCTGCAGTCTTATTCTATATAAATTCTTGACATACTGTATTGTATATTTGAAAACTAGAATCATACTAGTGAGTCTTTTCTTTCTAACTTTTTTTAAACAGGTGAATACATGTACGATTCATGAGTACTGTATAGCTGCATATACTGTAAAAGGCTTACAGACTTCAGGGTTATAATTTAACAATATGTTATACTACATATGGATATCCTCTATAATGAATATTCTTTTTCTGCTCTCTTGAATTTCAGATTAGAAGATTATTTGAGTCTTTAGATGTAATAGTCTGTGTTGGCTATATCTTGCTGTCTGCACTAGGTAATAACCTTTCAAGAGCATAAATAGATGTACATATATTATATCAAGTATGCTCCAGAGACACTAATGCTAAGATGAAATGATGTTTAGTTTAATAATTTGAACCTGAGTATCTCTTATTTACGTCATTTACAAGAAAGTATCCAATAATGCAAAGATCCATTATTCATGGTGATCTTTGCTGTGATGTTTGCACGTATTTGAGTATCCATTATTTATATCCGTCACTGGAAAATGACCAGTGCAAGATTAGATTGGGCGCAGCAGTTGGTGTTATTAAACCCTGGAGACACTCTTGAATTGTACTAGACTCAACTGCTGACATCAGTTTTCTGTTGTCTTGTTTCAGCATTAATAATATTACAATTGTCACTTCAAAACTCAGGCAAATCACTGACCTCATTCTAGCAATGGTTTTGTGTAAAGAAAATTTATAAAATAGGCAAAGTGAAAGCAAACTAATATACTGTGATGCAAAGCTGACTGTGCTTGATTGGAATCCATGACAGTAACATGCAAGCTGTATAAGTCATGTGATGATACTTTCAGTTCAGTGTTTAAATCTGATCTGTAAAATGTGTTGTGGGATAAATGCACACACACACACTCCTTACTCACAACACACAAACACTGGAAATTAATTGGGTGGATAAAATAATGCAAAAAAGTATGCAGAATATATTTTAAAGATAAGGCAAAAAAGGCTTGAAACTTTACAAAGCAAAAAGCAAAGAAGGAGAATTATTATACTTGAGAGAATTGAGCATCACACGCCTGGAGCTTGCCTGCAGCACATTGATGAAGCGTATTCTCTCTGTACCCAAGTCAGGATAACAGAATGGAAAACAGACCGCTTCTCGTATGACAGAGGCATTGGCATGAATATTTTATTTCCCTAATTACCAAAAAAGAGCCAGATCTCCAAAATTCTGAGGCATGCATAATTAGGCTAACTGGTGGTAGCATTGGCCCTGGCTAATGGGCACTATAAACTTAAACATCAGCCTTGCAGTTTGGGAAGTGCTGAGGTACTCAGAAAAAAATAGAAAGGTCACCAGAAGGACAGTGAGAATAAATAACAGAAGAAATGTAATTTGCTTTCACTTAGGACTATACAGATTAATTTAAATGTCTCTGAAGTACCCACCTGGCATTAAGTGTTATGAATGACAGTTTGAGAAGGGGTAACCCCTAGGTTAAATGCTGCTGTTTTGCAGAAACGTAACACTGAATACATACAATTTTAAATTATTTTGTATGTTTTAAGAATTATAATATATAATATATCCACAAAGACATAAATGTAAATGCAAGTATAATCTTATTTTGAAAGATAGCACTTTCACTACATGTTCAACTATTTTACTATGAAATTCCTTTTTTCTTAAAAGACTACAGTAGATCTGTTTTTTATTTTTATCTTTTACTTTATGCAATGTTGGTCATACTACATACAGTAGATACTGTATATAGGATAGTTAATTGCAAATGTCTATCCTAAGTATGGTGAAATTAAGAAAACAGACCTGTCCTCAGTATTGCCTCAAGTTACATGGATGCTTTGTTTTTGACTGTGTACTGTAAACACAATGAATAAGAGATTAAAAATCTTTTTATATGACTTGATGAAACTTTTTACAGACATAAGACCTTCTGTAATCTCCTGTTCTAGCATTTAAACCACCATGGGGCCTAATTAATTCAATTCAAGATGGTTCCTTTATGAACATACTGGCTCATCCCAGGCTGGGAGGTATCATTGTGTACTTCAGGCCAGGTTTCATGCTCAGAGTCTAATTAGACTTGCAAATTTCCATTATCTGTTTAGAACCCACCTCTTTAACTCTTAACAAATTAGTTCTTCTCCTTTTTGTAGACCTTCCTACAGTGGACAGAGACTGTTTAATGATACATTTTCATTTCATTCATTTGCAGGGTTTCCTTTTCTCAAATCTCCCCTCATAATTTAGGAAGATTTGAAAAGTATTATTCCTTGATTTCTTCTGAGGAAGTGAACAAGTTATGAAGCAGAGCAGATTGCAGTTCGTAGCCCAAGTTATTAGCCCAATTTAGTAGCAGTTTACTGCAATTCTGTCAATTAGTAATTGTATTAAATACCATTACATATATAAAGGTAATATTAAGTAAAAGTAAACAGTGAAAAAAATTAGTAGCTGTAAGTAAATAATTGTTATATAACAAATGGGTAATACATTTCTTGTGTACAATACTTCAGTATAACTTTATTTACAGTGTACCTGAGAGGTACGGTAGTTTTAATGTACTGTATGGTGATGAGACCGACAGGAAATACTACTAGATAATAACTATGTTATTAATGTAGGTTTTCATTCTGAAATAGATCAATACTAGACTGTAACTGGCATTTGTTGGGTAAATGATTTAGTTTTATAGTCCCCTCAGTTTGGCCTGGTCTAGATAATATATAGTAACCATTCCTTCTTTGTGATATATAGCTGGTCTGGGATTATTCATTGAAACAAAAAACACTGCCTTTTTTCATGATTAGAGTTTACCATGAGAATGGGAATTTTAAGGAGCTTTTTAGGTGTGCTCTGTTTCATTTTTGTGAGGTTGGGCTAGTGTTCTGAATACAGATTGACTAACATATGGATATATAATGTTGCATTGTTTTTTTTAATTGGCAATGAAAGCCAGGTGTGTTTCTTCTCAATCTGTTCTTACAAAGAACTGATATAAAAATATCAAATATGGTCAACTAAAGGACTGAAAGTTAACATTTTAATTTTTATAGCCCTAATATGGGAAATTTCTTTATTTCCAGGTGATATGATGTTGCAAAATTTTGTCTGAGTAAGGTTTTTAATT